TGCCCAAAGAAAGTAACACCACATCAATATAACTTCACCCCAAACATAACCACGTCCCTAGCAAGCATGAAACTTCTGAGTGGGGACTAATACAGTTGCAAAAGAGAATTCAAACATTTAGATGAACAGGCAAAGTGAAAACTTAGCTCCAGGGCCATGGTCAATGGGTGATCCCTCCCTGTTCTTATCTCAACCCTAAAGCCTTTCATTTCATTTTTCTCCTCTCCACCCCACTGGGGTGTGGGGTAGGGGGAGGAGGGTAGTTTAGCTGCCAGCTGGGCTAAACCACAACAGCCCATCCTTAAAGTCTCCTCCACACTGCTCAAAAACTAAGCCCTCCTGCGGCACTTTGCACTGTTTTCTAGACCACCCACTCAGACGTGGATACACGAACCACATGTGCTAGGAATGCCTGCCCTGAGCTGAAAGCAGAATCAGCATTATGACATTATTACTTGTGCAACCAGGCTTTTAATACAACTTGTTTTGTCTTTTCAATACCTTCGATTCCTTAATGGTTTGTATATAGTCTCTCTACCGGCCATTAGATGCTTAAGGATTTGAAAGGGGAATACAACTGTTGGAAGAAAACACCATTATCAGAGTAAAAATAATTTTAGCATACTTTTCCTCCCCTAAAGAGATAGGCTTAATTTCTAGGTCTTACTAAAAAGATGTAACTGACGGCTTCACAAACCTACTATTTCCTGAACAGGACTCAGACCACGAATTCTGTCTCCCTGTGAGCGATGATAAAAGGTAATAATTTATTCCTCAGTGTGATGAGAAGGGTAAAGTTTACTAATGGAAATTCCACTTTTATAGCATTGGTTCTCCAAAGAAACATAGGAAAACATGTGACCCATTCGACTTAAAATTCAGGAAAGAATTATTTCGAGTCAGAATTATACTGAATGATGATGGAAATGCATCTTCTGCTGTATTCACAGATCTACATTTGACTTTGCTCGACTTTACTGACGGGAAAAATTAAAAGTAAATGAAGAATTGAAAAATGCAAGATTATCACTTTGCAGTAGAATTAGTCTGGCTGAGATACAACATAGAGTATAAATAAGATGCAATCTTCAGACAGATGTTAAACAGACATTAGCATCTCAAATGATAAAAACAGCTTAGATTTTTGTATGCTGCTGCAATACATCTCTCTCTCATCAAGTCAGCAACAACACAGTTATTACAGCGGTGAACTAAAGCAGCTGCCACTCTGCAAGCTGTCACCGTATCTTGCAGCAGACAGAACTGCTGACCAGTAAACTCTACTATGCTAACATAAGGAACCATATCCAGCTACTAAGGGATCTCTTCTTTACTGTTTGGTGGTTTGGTTTTTTTTCCCCTCCAGTCCGCCCCGCCCAGGGCATTGTTCTCACTGTGGTAATACTTCTCTTTCCTGCTAGTCACAGTGGCATTTCTTGCTGCTCAAGTAAATGCAAGGTTCTGATGTGATTGTGCTTAGAAGTTAATTTATCTGCTCAGAGACGGAGACAGCTTTGTAAACGCCACTGGTTTAGCTGTGTTAACGCACTGATTAACTCCCAAGCACCCACGAAAGCACTGCAGATACAGAAGTTTTAGTCCCATCACCTGTTCGTAAGCCTTTTACGCCCAACAGTAAAGCTTCTTGGTACAGTATGCAGAATAGCTTCCTGGTGTACAGTATGTTCAATTGTATACTGCTTCACAATTTAGAAAACTATTGGGGCTCATAAAAACACATGCCTTGCACTTATTAAACTCTGGAACATGTTTTGCACTGCTTATTTTTGCAGTTCCTGCTAGCTCCTGCTATGGCTGGAAGTCTGATAAAATTTTCACCATAAGTCTCAATTTCAGTGCACTGCACTTATAGCAAACGGTGCAAATCAATGGACCAATGCACAAGCACAAAAATACCAAGTCCCTCTATAGACTTGAAACAAGAGTTTGCTAAAAGATATACCGTTTGCCATTGACTGCAAGTGGAAAAGATGGGATGTGATGTGTACACACCAAAGATGGTATGAAGCAAATTAAACATCCTATCATCAGAGCAGAGTCTAGAGTAAGATAATGCATGCGACAACCAAACAGGGCAGCTTTCCTATTAATTTTGCAAACTAAGTTATCAGTCTTGAAATTGACCGGTCATTCCAAGAGACCCAAAACTACTAGTGTAAATTCTAAGAAAACAAGATGATACTTACCAAGTAAGGACCAAGGACCCAAACCAGATTGTGAACATACTTTATTTCATTGTGAGAATGGGAAAGAAGGACAATGGGTCAGGCAAAACCCAAAAACTTGTAATTTCCTTCCCCCAGACAAAAAAAGAAGAAACTTTAGCAGAAACATACTGGGCTCTCCAAATGCACTGTACTATGCATACTCTGCTTTGAAATTGAAAGCATAGACCTAACCTAAAAATACCCAACCAATGAAAAGAAGAGAGAAAGAAACGATCAACCATTTCCTATGATATAAAGACTGAAGATTGAGCATGGGTTTTGTTTTATCTTGGAAGACTCTCCTCACTTTCATGTATGCCTCTTCCTCCTTTCTTGCCCTTTCTCTTTGGCATGGCCTAAAATGGCCTTCAAATCTAAATGATAATGAAATTTTTGTAAAGCCTCTCAGTGTCTTCAAACTTCTAAAAGGATATTAAAATTTGTCTACCCAATTGGACATCCATTTCCTGAGGTGAAAAGCTAGTGGTGAGATGAAAACTGCCCTTACTATTGGACACAACTACTGTTCTAGTAACAGTGACTCACTTATGCTGAAAAAGCTTTTTTTTAGATATTGCAACTTATTGCTAACCTCCGTCTAGTCACCTCAATGAATTAATCCAAATTTTCACAGTATAACTTTGTTCTAAACAGGCTGATGTTAACTAAAACTCCAAAACATTTATTGCCAAAACACTTTAACCCATCTCAAAGATCAGTGCTCATATAGGTTAAAGACTTGGAGGGTATCTTATTATTTTTTCTTTTACAGAAATATGAGTGTCTGAAATTAAGCGAACAAGGATTTTTTTGTTGTTTCTGCGTACAACATTAGAAGAAAATAGCTATTTTTTTTAATTTACATCAATACTTAGTAACTCTTATTCTATCAGAATTTTGTGAAAAAGTCAACACACACACACACAACTACAGTCTATTTTCTTCCCTCTCCCATGGAACTAGAAAATTCAAGAGTTTAAGGATGATCCCCAATTTGCATGAAATTCAGCACTAACTTGATACTGTAATTGTTGCCATCTCCCTTTTATGTCTATTCTATTTGCTGTTTTCTTCTGTTTTCAGTGTATAATAAAGCTTATCTAGTATTCTAAGGGTAAAATGATTCATTTCACCACTTCTAACAAAACAGTGCAATAGTCATACTAGAAGTATCATGGGATTTTTCCCCTCCTGCAACTCAATGAGCTTTTACCACAAAACTTAGTTAGAAAAGTCAAAAAGGACAAAATTCCATATGCATCTGGTGTAACTAAAAGGAAGTTGAACACACAATAGTAGACTAAACATATTTAAGGTTGCTTTTAGATTTCTAAACATTTTCATACAAAATAATCAATAAAAATCGAAGTTATCCCCTTCACATGCACTCCTTCCCTCACCTGCCTTATGTCAAAAGTAACTTTAATATTACGCTCCCGCTCCTCCCCTCTTCTCCCCAATTGCACATTAAGACATGGACTTAAAACAACAACATAATGCTTCAAGTATGCTTCATGCCAATCGTCAATAAGAGTCATAACATTACTGAAAAAGTACACTTATTCTTGGGAAGCCTGAGAAGGACTTCCTACAGAGTGTGGTCAAACAACACTTTAAATAAGAAAAAAAGCCCCCCCAATCCAATCCCTATCCCGTCCTCTCAAAAAGAGTAAAGTGTAAAATTTTCTTTGGACTTAAAGAAACAGTATCAAGATTTACCATCTGAATACGAAATAACCCCAACAGGAATTTAGCTTTGCAGTGCTGCACAAACTGTGCGCAAGAAACAGTGAGTCATACAGTTATTACTGTTCAGCTCTACACATACAGACAACATGTGGTATATAAGCATACACATGACATACTGGCCTGTCCAGAAACAAGATACAATTTTTAAGGCTGGTAAACCTGAATAAGCCTTTGCATCCAGAAGTATTTTTTAAATTCTTTTCTCTTTTCACTGAGGAATTTGAACTTCTAATAGAATGGTGATGATGCTGTCAAGACATCATCAGCAATATGACGGCACGGAGCTTTGATGTGAAACTGAGTACACATCCTCTCATTTGATCAAGGATCCTCCTTTTAAGGAATAATGGATGGTATGAAAGAATACTCATTTTTAGAGACAAGAAATGCTTCTGGAAACACAAGCAGGTTATTGAAAAGATACCAAAATCTGGAAAGTGTAAAAAGCATGTATACATGTGTGTGTATATATACACACACAGGTGCATGTATATGTGTATACACACATGTATACAATATATCATATATGTATTTATTCCAACATGTAACTGTATAACAACTTATTTTTTTCCTTTTCAAATAAAGGGTTTTAATTTAGCAGTTGTAAAAAAAAAAACCAAAACCCCAAAACAAACTAAGCAGACCATATACTATATGAATAAACAAAAATGTTATGCAAATAGTTTTATGGTGAAACTGAGTCACACACTGGCAGCAGAGGAGTGTTGTAACTCACAGTAATAAATAGATCCAAATCAAGAATTTTCTACAATATTTTCTTAGAAGACAGGACCAGTATTTCTTCTTTTCTGATGATCCTGCAGAACACCCTCACTCTTATAGATATGTAATTTTATAACATTAAACCAAAACCAAGAATGTAGACTGCAAAAGATGCTGGATTCAGGATAGTATACATGACCTGTTCTGTCACAAGTCCTACTGGTTTATTCACTAAGGCTAGACAGCAAGTCATATGATTCTATCTTGTGCATTTTCTACCATGGTCAAGATTAATAAATGGATAGAGTCAAGGACCTGTGGTCCAACCTGCTTTGGTCCAACCCACTGTTGCAGAAACAAAATATAGGACCACTCCTTGGTCCCCAACTTTGTATCTTGTTTCCTGGAACTGCAGAAGTGGAAACAAGACTGTAATGTTTTAAGTGACTAGAGAAAGAGAGCAAGAAGTGGTATTTTGTCATGAATGAGGTTGCTAGGCTTGTGATAGTACTGTATCAAAAGAGCACACATGGGACTCCACTACTTGCAACATCTGGTAGTGTCACTCAATGACTCATTGACTTCAGAATACATGTATGCAGTAATAAATAGATCAGTTACGTAATAAGGCAGTGTGTTGAACATGCATTCATCTTGTGGACTGGAACACCACAGAGAGAGATACATGATACCATACACATTCATTAAGACCAAGTATTGTTGTTTGTTTTTGTGTGTCTGTTTTTCAAGGCTATCCAGGCAAACTCTTCCAGAGGATTTTCTTCTTCAGAAGAGCGGTCCTCTGAGTCTCATGACTTTTCCTCTCCCTTATCAAGAGATGATGACTGGCTTTAAGGAAAAATAAAGCTGAAGAGGGTTGTTTTGGTTTTTCCTTCCATTTTGATTGCATGATTCTGACTGTTTCATTTAAAGAATAGTTTTTTTTTATGCAGCCAGATGCTGAATCCTCAGGAGGTTCCAGATGTTTCCAGGTAACTCTGTAGCTTACGAACTGTGGTTTTGTCCAGTGAGCAAAGATCAAAGTCAAAGGTTGTATTTGTGATATGAAAGTGTCCAGTTTCTTCTATAAGATTTACTATCTGAAAGGAAAGAAAAGTTGCAGTTGAAAATTTCAGCAGTTTTCCATGTCCACTGAACGCATTAACACGCCACTAAGCATCATATGAAAGGCACAAAACAAGCCCAGTTGTCCCAATACTCGCAGGTTAAACCATTATCCTTATCACACGCTTCCCTTCTGACACAAACTATAATTCAGACTACAGTATCTCAGGGTTTTTTTTAGATCATCATCAACCATAATGCCAGCCTACCTATCTGCTGTTCTAACAAACATTACCATGGAAAAAGATATTTTTCAAATACTAAAACAAAGTCTGCATATTTTCTAAGTCAGTTTTCTTTTTTTAAAAAACAAAAAGAAGAAAAGAAAAGAGCAACACCTCCCTCCGGCCAAGTCCAAAGAACTAAAAAAGTCCCAGATAGAACTCTGTCTGGAATATTTACTGTGTGCACAGCTGCTAAGCATGTTACTTTAGCAAATAATTGGCATGTCTGTCTGCAAGTAAGGGTAAGAAATAAATCCTTATAGAATCCAGTCCATATCAAACAAAAAACGTACTCAAGAGCTCTCATATTAACTGTTAGTTCACATACTAGCAGTTATTTCTTGAGTAAAGGGCTTAAATCAATTTTTTTAAACCACATCAACCATGAAAGGCTCCTACCAATGGCATAAGATCGCTTCTTCGGTAACTTTAATCTATAATCACAGCTTTCATTCAAACAGGAATCAGAAGAGCTGTTAGAAGTTCTTGAGAAGAATGGCAAACAAAACATCTCTCCTACGGTGAAAGGCTGAGAGCTCTCTTCAGCCGGCAGAAGAGAAAGCTCAGTGTGGATCTTGTCAATGCGTACAAATACCTGAAGGGAGCATGGAAAGAAGGTGTAGCCAGGCTGTTTTCAGAGATGCCCTGCGACAGAACCAGAGGCAATGGGCACCAACTGAAACACAGAAGGTTCTCTCTGAACATCAGGAAATACTTTTTCCCTGTGAAGGTGACCAAGCACCAGCACAGGTTACCCAGGGAGGTTGTGGAGGTCTCCATTTTTAGAGATATTCAAAAGCTGTCTGACATGGTCTTGGACAACTGGCTCTACATGTCCCTCTTTGAGCAGCTGGGGGTCGGAGCAGATGACCTCCAGAGGTCCCTTCCAACCTCAATGATTCTACGATTCTGTGAAATCAACAGTACATATCTAACATGGGCCCTTCCGCAGTTTTGACATTTTTAGTCACTGAATTGTAGTCTACATTTTTAAAGAGTGGTCATACTCGACATTGAATTACTGTAACAAGTAACTCCAGTTATGTTAAGTTCTAGGATGTGCACCTACCTAAAAAAAACAGTCAGCACCTTGGAAAGCCAAAGCATTGGTTGTCAGATAGGGCTAACACAGTGCCAACACACTTGGCTATTAATCTCTTATCTGCCATTTCACTCCAAGAGACAGACGCCCCAAGTCACCACACAAAAAGGTACCCCGTCCTGAAGTGGCTCTCTGGGTAGTCTCATGGACTGAGAGAGCATTGCTTTTCTGCTCAGTCTTTACAACCAACCCTCCTGTGTCACTCAGGCTAGGCTCAACATCCTGTTTGCACCCTTCAATCTGAAACCCACTTAGTTCTAGAGCTTCCACATATACCTCCACTGAATTGCTGCTGCTAGATATTCCTTGCTTATTTGAGCTTTATTAATCTGCCCGTAATTCCTTTTCTACAGCTGGAGGAGACACAGATGTATGCACACAAAACTTACAGAGCATACCTTAAAATGACAAATCTGGTAGGAATACACCAACTTGAAAAAGAACAATGAATTTAAAATAAATAATCTGTAATTTTCCACTCCCCACTTCATTATGTAAACAGATGTTTTTCTCCTCAGACCACAGAAGAAAAGACAATGTTGATAATAAAGGAAATAACTTCATGTGTGTTGTCAGGCATGGAATGACACAGCCCAGGGTGGATTAAACAGAATGGAAACAAGATAAAATAAGAGGGAAATGCCTGTTACTCCTTCCAATCACCTCCCATTTTCCAAGCTGGAAAAAAAAAGTCAAATCTGCTTAATTTGGTTTGCAGCTGTCCAAAATTTTGAAAGTACTTAGGAACAATCCTGCACTTATTAACACTTCATTTCAGTCTGTGTCTCTTGGCTTTAATTCTTTTTCCATATGGGAATTTCTAATCTAAAATTGCCAACTTCGTTTGTCCACTTGTTGATTCACAGATTCTTGTAACACTTTTCCATCTCCTGCTGTTCTGCAATTAATATGAGGGAAAAACGTTGAACGGGATAAAACTGATTGTTACCAGAAGGAAACTTTGATACATGTTATTTGTCATTCTCATTTTTGGCACTCTCTTGAGCCTCATCTGAGAGAAGCTAAGGAGTCAATCCAGGCTCCTTTTGTAAAGTTACGAATCTCATCTCAGGCTTGGTCTCCAAATATGCACTGTGGGAAAAATAAATGGCTGCACAAGTAGTTTACAGAAGCCAAGGCCAAGAAGGTGTAGCCACATGGAACAATTATGTCTAACGCTTCCTTGCATTACGGTGGAAGAACGCCACCCCTCATAACCTTCACAACAATATACATGGGTTTAGAAACAAAGATTACATGAAAGTGTTAACACCTGTATTTTTAAACAGCACTGTATATTTTAAAAAATTGATAAGCACTTTTATTGATCAGGTTCTGCTTTGGGCTTTTAAGCTCTAGGACAAGGGAAATATAAACATTTTCAACATATCCATCATCTGCTCCTCAAGAAATACAGCCATTATGTCAGGGCACCTGGTAAATCAGACTGAAATGAACCCCAAAAGTTTTAATGGATGTACAAAAATGCATCAAGATAAACCCAGACAACTCAATGAAAAACACCTGCCTGTGTGCCAGTCAATGAGAAATTCATGACTTGCAGTATTAGCATACGCATCCTTATGCTTTTCAGAAATACTTGAAAAAGAATAAAAGGTTGAGATTAGTTGCCAGGAAGCCTGACAGTTATAATATTAAAAACACAGCATTAAAACATTTCATTCTGAGAGCTCAGGCTGCAAAGAACAAAAATATCTCATTTGTTCCTTCCGTAGTAAGCTTTGCTTTTCTGCTGTAACGTACATCTGTGTTTACACAGTGTCTCTCCAGCTCAGTTTCATCATTATCCATCATAGTACAACTATTTATCTGCCTTTAAACAAGCAAACGAGCATGTGTGTTTAAGAAGCCAAAGTGCAACTAACAACACAGTCATTTTTCAATTTATGGAGGGTTTTAGGCCATTTGATAGTTTCCAGACCTGCAAGTTGCCCCTTGCGGGAAATTCTCAGAAGACAGTTGCCATCTGAAGTTAAGCACCTTGTGGACATAAGCAATGTAATTTTCAGCAGTGCTACATGCTCTCAATTTCTTCCTTCTGCCTATGCTGTCTAGTGCACTGGCTTTAAGGAGATTTTTCACCAGCTGAAGACATGAATTCTGATGCCTCAAAGTAAGAGGCAAAGTCTTACCAGAAATCTTGTTGCATTTCATGGGGTCATGCTAACATCACCTGCACTGAAAGTGCAGAGTTAGGAACCCAGTTTTAGCCAGCTAAATTTGAATATATGGGACATGCAGCATTAACATTTAATTGCAGGCTCAGTCATCCCTACTATTTCACTAGAAATCACAGAGTTAAAAAAAAAAAAACAAAAAAACCAAAAAAACCCACACACAATCAAAAAAAACCCCGAAAAAGCCTCAAAGAGAAATGCCGCTCTTGGGAAGGTCACATTCTCAAGCAGATACATTTTTCTCCTCATTTCCAACTCGGCTGCATTCCTATTTGCTTTCATGCCTATGGACTTGGTGACAACTGAGATTGCAAAAACCTGTCCTCTCCTTTTCACATCCCTTAGCGTAAGTTTCAAAAGCCAGCACTTTCGAGTGATCAATGCTGTCGTTTTTCTCTTGCAAGTCCCTTCTCTAAAAATTTCCTAGAAGTCTGTAAGTAGTGAACTTTGACATGTGAAAGAGATGATTACCTGCCCTGACATCTAATAATAACAATCACCACTCAGGAACACACAACTCCAATATCACTACACCACTACCACTGCCTTTAAAACTCTTGCAGCTATCTATAGTTTTCTGTTGCATATTTTTGGACTCAATTCCTCTTCTTATGTAGTCCTTCCTTTCTGCAGTTTTATCCCTTGCTCTCCTAACCTTTGTACTCCCTATAGTCCCAATATACTTGTATTTCTTGGTCTAGAAGTTTCATATTCATTCCTAAACATTTTCTCAGCTCTGTACTCTTCTTATTTCTGCACTCACTAGAAGTATTTTACATTAATTACATAGCTGCAAAGCAGTAAGGACATTTAAAACGGGATTACAGTTTATTTGTAAAGCAGAGAAGCAAGTTATCAATTCAATATTGTGAACATATTTCTGTAAACTGATAAAATCATATGACCTAATGAACTGCAGAATATTAAAGGATTTGAAGGCTTCAAAACTCAAATGCATTATTTGTTTTATAACAGCACAGACCATTTGCTAGTGCAGACCAGCTAACAGGCAATTGATAAGTAACTTGGCTCTTCCATTGAATTCTGGTAGGCGTCTGTAGCAGTATTATGCAGTCACCAGCTATCAGTACAGAACTGAGCCCCTGTCCTAGCCTGCACAGTCCGGACATAAATCCAGCTTTCACTGGGGCCGTATTGACTGCCTGCACACACTCCAAACAAAGGGACACAATCTGCAAGAACAGTCCTTCAGGAAACAAGGCAACACCAATTTCTGCATCAACCTAACTTTTATAATGTAACTAATTAAATACTATGCTATGAGAAGTCATGGATTACAGTATTAAAATTATGCTCTTCATGTGAGTTGTGAGGTGAAAGTCAATGAATGTTTTCTCTTGTCTGATAAATACCCTCAGAAGAAAAGACAAAGTTCATCTTTAGTTTAAAATGCACAATAATATACTGCTTGTTTTTTCATTTATTGAGAATAAGATAGTCTAAATTTCCAGCTCAGTTATGTCTCTTTTCACACAGTTTTTCCTTGTATTAGTGACTTGCCATGAAGCAGACTGTAACATCAGACTGAAGAAGCTTTAGCAGACGAACTATCATTTTTATAACAAAGCCAAATATTTCTTCCCTACCAAATACACTTAAATGCTACTAGACCAGAAAGAGGATTATGGATCCAACTTGAACCATCTTATTTGCTCAGAAAATATTTCTTAGGATGATAGGAGAATTGCAACTGGAAGGGATTTTGCTAGTCCCAGCCCCTGCCCAGAGCGGACTCAGCCATAAGGTCAGATCAGGCAGCTCCGAGCTTATCCAGTCAGGATTTTAAAAGCTCCAAGGATGGAGACAGCACAATCTTTCCAGGACTCTGTTCCACTGCTAGACCACCATCACAGGGGAAAAAAAGTTTGTTGCTCGTTTTTAATCTTTGCTTTGGAGAAAAGGTTTTGAAGATGTTTTTCTTTTTGAAAATTTCACAAGAAGCCACCTAAGCCTGGTGCTCTGCAGGCAGCCCATACAGCCCCCATGAAAGCTGGATATGGCCAGACTGTGCAGGCTACAACAGTGGTGCACTTCTGTACTGGGAGCTGGTAACTGTAATACTGGCTACAGAGGTCTACCAGAAGTGAAACCATTCAAAAGCTATGCCTTGGATAACTAAGAAAGTGATCGCTCAGGAAGCAAAGGTAGGACGTGAATTTACAATACAGTGGCTTTTTCAGATTCTCTTTTTATGTGAACTCTCCAAGAATTAATTAGTAATGTGAAGTGGAGAGGGTGTTGCAATTCCTGCCTTTTAGTCTTCTACACAGTAATTTCACAATGTAGATAAAAATTTGCATTTGTCACCATTATGAAAGTATGTTTTGGTTCCCTTTGTAGACAAAAAGAGAACTTCGGAAACAACAGTACGTTAAATATGAAGGGTGCATCACTGTTTATCATAACTTACAAAATCTTACAGAGCTATCAGAATTCCTCTTTAAATAAGAATATCCTTAACCAAAGTCTTCCTTTTTGTTGACCTCGGAATTGCTTTCTCATCTTTACTCACAACACTGAGCCTGAAGGCCAGGTTGGAGGAGGCTTTGGGCAACCTGGTGTAGTGGAGGGTTTCCCTGCCCATGGCAGGAGGGGTGGAACTAGATGATCTTTGAGGTCCCTTCCAACCCTAACCATTCCATGATTCTATGAACTAATAAACAGGTTAAAGCTGGAGCTCACAAAATATTTTTAGCACGCTCATCCAAGTGTTGAGGAATTTGATAAGTGATTGCAGTCATTTAGAAGTGGTAAAAATTTCCCTCTTTACAACATGTCCACAACCGGCACATAATGATGCTAAACAAAATAAAACCATCTGTGCTACAATTAATCTGCTTTGTTAACAGAACCTATTGTTTAATCTTCACGATTTGTAATCGAATAGTACCTGACAATGCTGCCCAAAACAAAGAATACTATTATTTGCTCCTACTATTGCATAACTTTTCAATAATTTTAGAGCCTTCTTGGTTTGCACGTTTTTGTATTTCACTCCTTCCATGACTTCAGAAGACTCAATGAATATATTGTGGTTTTGCTTAAAGTGAGTTGTGCTTTGAATTCCATGTTTTCTGTTTGCCATAGATGATTTTTTCTGAGAAAATGCTGGCCATTTTCATCAAAAAGCAACAAGATTTTTATTAAGTCACAGTGCACAGCTGTATTCATTCACAATTATTGATACAGTACATTGAGGAACATAAGGAATTGGTCAAAAGTTTAGCTCAGATAGGCTTTTTTTTTTAATTTGTCACTTAGTGTGACAACACAATTTAAAGTATGTAAAAAATCCCTAATCTGCATTGAAAGTGATAATGGGCTGTATATGGATTATACAGGTTTGAAAGGCTATTATACCTGATTACAAAGTTTTAGATGAAGGGAAAAAAAAATATATGACTTCTCAATTTCAATGAGCACACTGTGATATCGCATGAGCGCTCCTCACCTGCTGCAGTACATGTCTCTCTCTCAATGTCATTAATCTTCTGTGCAGCTCTACTAGTTCATCGAGATAGGCCTAGGAACAAATCCCCCCCCCCATAAACAACTTGTTAATTAAGTCATAGCTATGTATTTCAAAAACTTTAGATGTCTTTAAAACAATACAAATTTAAATTTTATTTTAAATCTTCTTTGAGCTAAATTTTCTTATTTAGTAGGGGTTTTTTTTAGATACTTCGTGCTGATGAATATCTTATAAGGTGGTCTTTTGCTGTAAAAGATAATCTCTATATCTCAACTGTGGCAAAAAGCGTAAAACAGACTGGGGATGTCAAAACAGCATCTTTTAAAAAAAACATCTCCCACCTTTCCTAAGACCTAAACCCAAAGATTTACAATCAAATCCCTCTTTTTCTCTAAAGCTACCGAATTAATTTTCTATGTCAACAGACATATAAGGAAAGAAAGCTCAAGCAAGATTAATCCAATGGCAAATTCGACTGTCTTCCTTCCTCAGATGTCAAACATGTCCCATCTCTCCACCCAATTATCAACTTTCTCCTTCAGCCTGAGCCATCCTAAACCTTTTATTCTTTTAGGCAGCAAGAAATAACAGCACCCAGCTTTAAGAAAGCAAAAAGCATATGGATCAGACCACCGAAAATCTAGCAATATATAATGAAACTTTGGTCTCCTGCCTCACATTATCACAAAGTTAACACTAACACCTTTAAAATATGAATCTTCAGAGGAACTTCTCCACACTGGGAAATTGTGCTACATACACTTTCTCAGTGTTAAATGCTAAATGTTGCGTCATATAATTAACATGTTAACTCACACTGTCACTTCCAAATGCACAGCACTCAGAAAGGATTCTGGAAAAAACAACCCAAACTAATGGTGGAGACTAGATAAAGTACATAATAGATGGCAGAGTCCCAACTGGTAACATTTGCCAAATCACTACACGAACTGAAAAGAAAGAAACCACTTTCAAAATACGCCAGAAGAAGGAAGAATTAAAAAAAAAAAAATTAAAAAAAGAGAGAGACCTGCATCTAAAGGAACTCAAAGCAAAAATGGCTCCGTGGCTGGTGTCACCACAACAGTTCTGGGGTTTTTTTTCAATAATGGGACAGCCAACATGGCACCAGGCTTGCCAGCACAAGATGGGATTCAGCATTCCCAAAGGGGGATGAGGGTCTTTGCAAATGATCTAGTGGGGCTCATTGACAGGGGTTTAAACTAGACTTGAAGGGGGACGGGGATAACATCAGGCTTGCCTGTGACAAGCTGAGAGCACCTGAAGAGCAGCAGAAAGGAATTCCAGGCACTCCAGCCAGTATTAGTCAAATTCATTGGAGGCCCAACTTAAATGCCTCTATGCAAACGCACACAGCCTGGGGAATAAACAAGAGGAGTTAGAGGTGTGTGCGCACCTGCAGGGTTATGATCTTACTGGCATCATGGAGATGTGATGGGATGAATTCTGTGACTGGAGCAATGGAATAGAAGGATACAGGGAAGATGAAGAGAAGGTGTCACCCTCTGTGTCACAGACCAGCTGCAGTGCATGGAGCTACGCCTGGGGATGGATGAAGAGCTGACTGAGACCTTACGGGTGAGGATTAAAGGGAGGGCAGGGACAGGTGACATTATAGTGGGGGGTCTGCTACAGGCCACCTGACCAGGAAGACCCAGCAGATGAGGTCCTCTACAGACAGATAGGAGCAGCCTCACCTTCACGAGCCCTGGTCTTCATGGAGGACTTCTACCACCCCAATATCTGTTGGAGGGACAACCCAGCAAGGCATAAACAATCCAAGAGGTTCCTGGAATGCCTTGATGATAACTTCCTTTTCCAAGTGACAGAGCAACCAAAGAGGAAAGATGCTATACTGGACCTCGTTCTCACCAACAAGGAGGGGCTGGTGAGCTCAAGGGCAGCCCTGGCTGCAGTGACCATGAAATGGTGGAGTTCAAGATCCAGAGGGTGGTGAGACGAGTGCACAGCAAGCTCACTACCCTGGTCTTCAGAAGAGCAGACTTCGGCCTCTTCAGGGATCTGCTTGGTAGAGTACCATGGGATAAAGCCTTGGAGGGAAGAGGGGCCCAAGAAAGATGGTTAACATTCAAGGATCTCTTCCTCCAAGCTCAGGAGCGGTGCATCCCAACAAAGAGGAAGTTGGGCAGAAATGCCATCAGGCCTGCATGAATGAACAAGGAGCTCCTGGACCAACTCAAGCACAAAAAGGAAGCCTAAAGAGAGTGGAAGCAAGGACAGGTAGCCTGGGAGGAATACAGAGAAATTGTCCAAGTAGCCAGGGATCAGGTTAGGAAAGCTAAACCCCTGATGGAGTTAAATCTGGCCTGGGACATCAAGGGCAACAAGAAAAATTTCTATAGGTATGTTGGTGATAAAAAGAGGACAAGGGAAAATGCAGGCCCTCTCTGGAAGGAAATGGCAGATCTGGCTACCCAGCATAGAGAGAAGGCTGAGGTGCTCAATGACTTTCTTTTGCCTCAGTCATCACTGGCAAGAGCTCCAGCTGCACCACTCCAGTTGCAGAAGGCAAAGGCAGAGACTGGGAGAATGAAGAACTGCCCACTGTAGGAGAAGATCAGGTTCAAGACCATCTAAAGAACCTGAAGGTGGACAAGTCCATGGGACCTGATGAGGTGCATCCGCGGGTCATGAGGGAACTGGCAGGTGAAGTTGCTAAGCCACTATCCATCATATTTGAGAAGTCATGAAGTCTGGTGAAGTTCCCACTGACTGAAAAAGGGGAAACATAGCCCCCATCTTTAAAAAGGGAAAAAGGAAGTCTCAGGGAACTACAGGCTAGCCAGTCTCACCTCTGTGCCCGATAAAGTCATAGAGCAGATCCTCCTGGAATCTAAGCTAAGGTGCATGGAAAAAAAGGAGGTGATTGGTGACAGCCAACATGGCTTTATTAAAGGTAAATCATGCCTGACAAATCTGGTGGCCTTCTACGATGGGGTTACAGCATTGGTGAGTAAGAGCAGAGTAACTAACATCATCCACCTGGACTTCTTCAAAGTATTTGATGCTGTCCTGCATGACATGCTTGTCTCTAAACCGGAGAGATGTGGATTTGATGGATAGACCACTTGATGGATAAGGAATTGGCTGAATGGTCACATTCCGAGAGTCACAGTCAACAACTTGATGACCAAGTAGAGACCAGTGACAAGCGGTGTTCATCAGAGGTCGGTATTGGGAACGGTGCTGTTTAACATCTTAGTTGCCAACATTGTCAGTGGGACTGAGTGCATCCTCAGCAGCTTTGGGTGCTGTGGTTGATATGTGGGAACGAAGGGATGCCATCCAGTGAGACCTTCACAGGCTTTAGAGGTGGGTCCATGCAAACCTCATGAAGTTCAACAAGGCCAAGTAAAAGGTCCTGCACATGGGTTGGGCATTTCCAAGCACAAGTACAGGCTGGGAGAAGAATGGATCAAGAGCAGCCCTGAGGAGGAGGACTTGGCAGAGTTGATTGATAGGAAGCTCAACATGAGCCAGCAACCGTGTCCTGGGCAGCATCCAAAAAAACGTGTCCAGCAGGTGGAGGGAGGTGATTTTGTCCCTCTACTCTGTTCTCGTGAGGTCCCACCTGGAATACTGTGTTCAGCTCTAGGGCCTCCAACAGAAGAAGGATATGGACCTGCTGGAGCAAGTCCAGAGGAGGGCAACGAAGATGATCCAGGGGCTGGAGCACCTCTCCTATGAAGACAGGTGGAGAGAGTTGGGGTTGTTAAACCTGGAGAAGAGAAGGCTCTGGGAAGACATTCTAGCAGCCTTCCAGTACCTGAAGGGGTCCTACAGGAAAGCCGAAGAGGGACTTTTTACACGGGCATGTAGTGATAGGACAAGGGGCAATGGATTTAAACTGAAAGAGGGTAGGTTTTGATTATATGTAAGGAAGAAATTCTTCACTCCGAGGGTGATGAAACATTGGAACATGTTGCCCAAAGAAGTCGCGGATGCCTCATACCTTGAACTGTTCAAGGCCAGGTTGGATGGGGCTTTGAGCAACTTGATCTAGTGGAAGGTGTCCCTGCACATGGCAGGGGGGTTGGAACTAGGTGATCTTTGAGGTCCCTTCCAACATAAACCATTCTATGATTCTATGTACAAATTACTAAGATTTTCATTCTGCAACAATGGCTGGTGTTTAGTAAATACATCATTATCACATTGTGGACTAGTTTACTGTTACCCCATTCTCATTTACCTTATCACAATCCCCATTCTTTATTTGTTTATCAGATTTGTTTTGCTTTATTGGACTTTTCACTTCTAAAATCTGGAAAAGAAAGAAAATCCTGTAAAAAAATGCATCATTGAATACAATTACATATGAAAAATTCTGCTATCAGTTAGTAACACAGAGAATATAACATCTGGAGAAAACATAATCAAAACTCAAAACTAAGCTTTTCATTCTTTAATCCATACAACTTACTCATATTTTTTTTTTAAAAGAAAGCAGCTTACAGCAGAAAATGCTGAGTTGCTGGAATGAGGTGATATTGATATTATTAATTCTTAAAAGAATTAATTTCATGTCATTTAAAGCCTCCTCAAGGCTTTTTTTGTATCTTTTGCATGCTGGTAGGATAAGAAGACTGATTTTGCAGATACAAAACGATGCTGAGGTACTCTCTCCAGTGCCTTTGAAATGTCGACATGATTGGTACATTTTTCCTGTGTTTTTTTTTTTCCCAGTGCTGTCTTTTCTCCTACAATAGAGATTTCAGTGTTTAGAAACATAGCCTTTGAAATGACCACGAGTTGTAACTGAAAAAAAAAAAGCATTTGACAGTAATATCTCTTGCATTTAAATGGTACTCTTTCCTCAACGCCATACAAAGCCACTTACTACCACATATATAAACCAAGAATGCTTCAACCAGTCCTAAACCACAGTCAAGAGAGCATGTCAACAAGCAGCAGAACACCATGCTTATTACGAAAATTTTAGGATTAAAGTAAATAAGATTTTTGGGAAACAGAACTGTTGATTGTTCTTCCAATTTTTTCCACACACAACACACATATTTTGAAGCCAAAAGTAGTGTTCAAAAACCAAAATAAAAATCACCATGTTATTCCTAACCTGGAATATGATCAGTTCTTCTGAAAAACATGAAAGGAAAATAAATGATCACAGATGATGGGAGATTTTGATTTGCATTTCATTGTAAGTAAGGCTCACATCACTAACATGATCATCTCCAAAACCACAACGGGTAGTCACAACACAGAACAAAACTCAGCAAATAAAACAAGGAAATAAGGTCTGTAAAAGCAAGTCTTCTAGACTAGCAAGAAGCCTCACTGACAGCTTTTTGTAAGTTCCCTCTGATTTCTACTTTGCTTGGCATAAGTGACTAAAATTGCATATATGCTCCCCAGGGTGACCAGTACCATAGGAATACAGTAGGAAGGCAGCTATTTGCCTACATATGAAAGCGACTACAGACCCAAGTTAACTTTACCTGAGGATTTACTTGGCCAAGAGTGAAGCATGGCCAGAAAGCAAAACATACTTCTCCAGAGAAAAATCCTAGTTCTTTGATTCAGCACCCCTTGGCTGTATAGGCCAGTGGAAGAGCAAGTCTTGTTTTGAAAAAAAAAAAACCAACACAGACCTCTAGGCATGGATCCAGTACTTTTTATATGCTTTTCTTGTTTTTAAGGAAGAAAATTGTTGGTTTCAAACAGAACCTTCGGAAGGACACAGTATATTTGAAAAAGTGGCTTCCTTACAGTGCTCTTGATGTGTAGTGAAATCTAACACCTTAAGCACTCTTGTTTGGATGAGACAGCACCAATCACATCTGAGGAAGCTTATATTAAATCTGTCTTAGCTCTTTAGTTCTATGGATGGTGTTAGTCAACACAAGCCTAATTTCATCAGTCAAAAGCATCACTCTGGCAAGTAGCAATACTCTACACCAAGTAAGTATTTCAAACATGTCTACGATTCATACAATTTGAATTCTCATAATGCTTCTCTAAATTTCTGATTTTCAGCTAGATTATAAAATCCAGCTCCATTATAAGAATGGAAGAAGGCATGTGACATTCAATTTTAGCTGGCACACTGCTATTGTTTGGAGCGTTTATATACTCAGGTAGATTTGTTAGATCACTGAAGGGGAAAGGAACATGAAAGACATGACTGAGTGAGCTGCTGATACTGAGACTTAAAATTACTTAACGATTACGTTGCCCCTGTAGAAGTCAGTCTTGATTAAACAACAAGCCATAGGTAGGTGTTTTATTTTTCTTGTGCTTATGTCTCCTGTAAATGCAATATTCTTCATCTTTATAGTTTGCTTTCTCTCCGTAAGACTCTCTTAAAAACTTGTAACTTTTGCACAGATCAAGTTAGAAAAGTCTACAGGGTTTCTGGCGGAAATGAGAATGCTTTCTGGACAGGCAAACTCCTTCGTCTCTGTGCACAAACTACTCCCTAGTTTTATTTTCCCCACAGCATATTTTAACTTAAATGACATGAATAATAATGTTTTGGGTTTGCATGATAAATAACCTTGTACTGGAAACCTTATTAGAAAAACAATGACAAGTAAATAATTTCTGCCAGACAACTGAAGCAGTTCACCTAAGAGATATAGGAAAGACTCATCCATAAAACTCACCATCTAAACCACAAACTTTTATTAATACATGTAGACACTACTCTAACTATATCAATACTGTAAGCAGCCATTTATTGCCAGTCAGTAAACTATTTCATGACTGCTTTGTGTCTGATCCAGCTGACACTGGGAATTAATTATAGGTCCCTAAAATGAGTGATTAGTGATGTATTTTATAAATTACAACCTTTTTTTTAAAGAATATCAGCTTTTATGTTTAATTTTTTTATTTGGAGAGGCTTACTTTATTGGTGACTAGAGGTGAGTTAACTCCGAAACTTCAATTCTCCAGTTGCCCCTGACGTATTTTGTAGCTCTAAGTTATTTATTTTTTTTTTAAAAAACAGAACTACCCTAACTTTTCTACCTCAAAAAAAGTAAAAACATTAGCTCTTACAGATGAAGAACAAGTACTCTGACAGTAAAGTAAAAAGTATTGTGTCTTCTAGAGAAGTAAAAAATATTGTGTCTTCTAGATTAACACTGGTGGGGGGAGAGGGGAAGAGATGAATGAATAAACTCCCAAGAATGAGTCTCTGGATATGAACTGTATCTACTGCTAAATACAAACCCAAACCTGCATCAATTGTTCAACTGAGACTATAAAGTCAGTTTGCATTGTTTACCTTACAAAGCTAATACATACAGAAAGGACACACTTCTTCAAATACTGATGAAAATATTACTTTGGTCTACAGTATTTGCTAAATCAAATACCTCTCCTTCTCCTGAAAAAAAAGCTCTTTATGTCAGTGTACAGACTAAGTAACTGCACTGAAGTAAGCAGTAAGTCCCATCAGCTCCCCAGGACCGCATTTATGATCCTGATGTTACCTGGTTGTTGCTGGTTTTCAGTAAAGGTAGTGCTGGTTCATGACGTAGTGGTGAGGAAGCTGAACTGCTGTCACTGTCACTTCCATCACTCAGACTAACCCTATGGAAAAACAGAGCCAAGAGATTATACCTCCAGACAAAAGGCTGTTTAAGAGGAGTGAGCCAAGCTTGCACCTTGAGGAAGGACACTAAGGACGACCCCTTGCTAAGCAAGCCATCATTAGTCAAGGTCACATGGAAGAGAGGCATCTGAGCAGGGTCGCACTATGGAAAAAGCTCTGTGTAGCATGGAGAACGAGGCTGTCTGCCTGCACTTGGCTGAGATGACGTGTCCAGTTAACAGCAGCTAACGTTACAGAAATGGTTAAATAGAACATTAAATTGCTGTTCCCAGCTCCTGAAGTGAGTCTGTATCTCATTTCATAGCCACGGGGAAGCAGGAACATGTTTTGTAGAGATACTTTTCTGCTCTTCTAAAAGCTTTCTAAACAGCAGTACTTGCAACTCGGACAACTGCTTCACTGAGAAGTTTCTTGTTTGTCATCATAAATAAGACTCTCTTTCTTGGCTAAAATTTAAAAACTTAGCATCTCAGGAGAGGGAATACGAAAAAGCTCAGCTCCTAGTCAGTCTCACCCTTCATTTACTTATGAACAACAGGGAATATGTACTTGTTGGAAGGGAAAAAAGTTATCTAGGATTAAAAGAAGGTAGAGAAACATTAGCCTTAAGGTTTTGTTAAAAAACTGAAAGAAAATCTCTACACTTTGAGACAAGTTGAGCTTGAGATAATCCTTTATACAACCACTGACACGAACAAATTCTCCAACAGCTAGTCATCTCGGTCTTTTTCTCCTTGATTCCAGCAATCAAGGAGTTGAAAGTGCACAAGGGAAGCAGCTGACAGTCAATAATGTTTTCCTATTATCTTCCCATTTAAGCACTAGTTGACACTGTCACTCATGCTGTGCACTTGCAGCAAAACCCTGTGGATTAGACAAAGAACTCACTATGAAAAAGTTTGAGAGAGACTGTTTCAGGTTTTCTATAACCTTCAACAACTTTCAGATGCAGCTTCAAGCTGCCCTAAGAACAGATGACTTTTGGAACATCCTCTCAAGTTAGGATGCAGAAGCATTTTTTTAAAAAGCAATTTCTGTGACAGATGCTTGCTTTACCTCTGTCTGCACTTTCACACATTACCTACTGCATGAAGCGCAGAAATTACTTGGAATTCAAATTTCATTGATTCTGATCCAATTTAACAACCTAATCAAACTAGTAAGCAGAGAGATCTTGAAAATGAGACACTATGTACAGAATAGCTCATGTGGCAATTGAAGGACTTAATTTTATCTCAGTTATGCCAGAGAGTAATTATGACTACTCCCCTGAAGTCACAATGGCATGAAATCAAGGAGAGTCAAATGAACAGGAAACATCCTAACTATATGGATTAGTACAGAAATAGTTCGTATTGGGAATGGCTAATTATGTTAGTTTTCAGAAGAGGCACTTTTACATGCAAATGCTTTAAACAGAGTCTGAATTCTCAGCCCATTTGCTACTCAGCATTCTCTGACAACATCAGACCTCACCCCATTACTAACAAACACAATGTCTTGGCCACCAGGCTACTTGCAATCACAAGACACTCACCTGCGACTCCTGCTTCCTCCTCCAGTATTCACAGGTCTTTCCATCTCAGAATCATTGTCATTTTCATCTGCTTCATCTGAATCATCTTCATTATCATCTGAATGAAGATCTTTCATTATAGACCTCAATGGACCTGAAACAACAGAGGCAATAAAATACACAAACGAAGTTCACTTTGCAGTGTTCCAGGCAACACATTCAGCTTTAGGTGATAGAAAACTACCCTCCCCACACAGCCTTGGGAAGGGAGAGTCTGAAACACTAAATAAATGAAGCAATGGACTGGTGGTTTATGCTACAGGGACTTATTCATGAATCATTTACTCACACGAGCAACTCAGTCAGCTTCAACAGACTTACTCATGGCAGCAAAGTGACTCATATGCTCAAGTGTTTGCATGATTGGCCCCCCAAACCACAGCTGAAGTAAGTAAAATACTGTCATGCTAGGAGAAATAGACTATTACTGTATTATTATTATTATTAGAAGCAAGATTCTTTTGCACTGCTGGGTTTTAGCATTTTTTGTGTTCTCAAATGGTATTATATGCAAGCGAAGACCTACTGAGACATACTGATCAGTAACAGTACATTTCTCAGGTTAATCTATGCCTTGAGAAGCAGAGTCTAACAAATGTTTCTGACTAACTTGGACCAGCCAAGGCAGTCTTTGTCTTCCTGTTTTTTATATATTTAGCTTTAGCTGTTCCCTTTATTTCAGGGTCAACTTCAGGTCAAGTAAGCACTTTGCCAATGTTCATATGTAAAAAGTGCACCAATCCCACACAACACCACGCTATCTCTTTTCCTGAATTAACAAAAGGTACAAAGCTTGCTCAGAAAACTGCATTAAATTCAATTGGGGATTTTGGTTTTATTTTATTCAATTTATTTTGCTGTAAAAGACAGTTACAGAAAGAGGAATACGTTCAACATATCTGGGAAATGTAAAACTACAGCTGCTTGAAGTAAGAATGGGCAAAAGTAGCTTAGGACAAGGAATGAAGCAGGATTGGTGCCACAGGACATTTAACTGGGAAGTGCAGCCCATCTGAGACACGAAGCAGCGGGGATGGCTGCAGGAAGAGTGATTACTATTAGGGTTCTGTAATTCCTTCAGCCCTGGAAACATTAAGCACTAACATGAACAAAGTGAGTTTCAGAATGTTCTTCAAAGGGAGATGAAGCTTGCAACTCTCTATTTGCTAATGGAGAAGCAGAGTCAAGGAGGGTCATCCCTGGTCACTGCCAGAAGAGAAGATAGACCACTGTCTGTCAGGGTCGTACTCCTACCAGAGAGCGTGTGCCCTTCATGGAAGGGATGGCTTTATGGATTATTCCAGACCTAGCAAGGCTCAGGTCACAGGCATCGTAACTAGTTTTGTGAAAGTGACTTCAAAGCCCATGTTGAGAATGATTTACCACTAAGGTTGCACTAGAGCTTTCATAAATTGGTGCAGTTTGGGAAGGTTCAGATCAATGGTTTCTCTTTTCTGTTTTCACACCTTAAGGCTGGCTGGGAAGAAGCCCTGACAGTGCTGATGGGCAAATTCCTGGTGGACCAGACACTTGTACAGGTGACAAGGAAAGGGGAGCTATACTGAAGTGCTTCTTGTCCACGAAACCATCACTGATCTGCATGAGCAGCTGACCTGTGCTCCATTTTCTGTTCCTGTTTTGTCGGGCAGACAACGCTTAGCTGTTCACAAATGGTAACTTGTAGGCTGAATGAAATATCTAATCATCTGACCATTGAAGGAGAGAAAGGACTCCTTCGGCTTTTAATAGAAGTCATAATGTACATATTTCCTTTAAAAGGGAGGAGAGACGGCACTCAGCAGCATTAGCACAGGGATGAAGGAAGAATTGGCCCATTTTGATCTTTCGGAAAACGTTCTTATTGGCCCTTGACTGTTGAGGTGGGTGAATGAGAGACATAGCGTAGGGAAGCTAAATGAATTGACGTAAAGGGTTAAAAGAGGATTAAATTATAAATACACAAAGTAGAATTCAAGAGAGTTAAAAGGGTAGAACACAAGGGTATTTCCACAGCCTAGACTTAGCCTAGAAAGATGTCCTGGTCTCATCCCTTTGACATACAAATACATGGCTTGGGCACTGAACACGTTCAGTTAACTGAAACTCCCAGAAAGCAGCAATAATCACTATTTACTGTGGCAAGAAAGAGGAGACTTATGTACCACTTGCACTTCAGAGTTGTTCACATCAGCATGTACTTGAGAAGTACATGAAGTTCAAAAATATGAAAGACAGTCTGTGATAGTCTTAAATATGACCCAGAAGAGATGGATGGATCCAGTCTGCTCAGAAGAAAACCTGAGGTCAACAGTTTTTTGCCCAGCATAAGATAACAGATAAAGGAATGGGTATCCAGATCTTTCGGCTTGTAATGAACAGTTCACACCACTAATGATGTTTTCATAAGAGCAAATATGGGGTTTCAGCAAGAAGGGGTTCTGTTTAGCCTTAGGTAAAAACTAAATGCCCGAAGCCAGTCATCAACTACAGTTCACTTTAGCTCTTGCCTTCTTCCATCTGTGAGCTGCCAGAAGACATTAGAAAATCAGTACCAGTCACCTAGAGAAAGGTAGTAGGACAGATATGCATCATGTGTAGATCTATTTAAAAACAAACTGCCTGCCTGCGGCGCTAATGTATTTTCATAACCTTAAATCAAGTCTACCATTGAGGAATATAAATGGATAAAACAAATGCAATTTTAATTAGTCAAAAGCTGCTTTTTTAATGCTCCTGATCCAAAGAACAAAACAAAAGCTGATTAAGAATCTATCAGTTGTACAATCTTATAAACCCAGGGAAAAAGGCCAAGCAGGAACTAAGCAGTTTAATAGATCATGTAGAATGAATCTCAACTTATTTACAGAAAACCTGTCTTGGCAAGCTCTCTGGGAAGAAAAAATGCATTTCTTTACTAAGTTCCAAGTAAACCATAATTATTAGCCAGAAAACCAAAATGCAAACTTAAAGTCATCTTAAAGTCTAGCTATCATCTTCCCCTGACATGCAGCTAAAGTAAATACTGTATGCTCATAAAACTTCCCAATAGTATGGGAAGATCACAGGCCTTCGAAAGGGTCCATATACACATATCCTTGGGCTTCCCATGGGAAGCCACAGCTTCCTGAGCCGGGCTTCAGATGGAGCCAGGTGCCATGTCACCTAACCCTGCAAAAGGACAACATCAGAAACAGAAGCTCTTCTGATTTTAGCATCCGTTAAGTGACTGGCATATATTTAGTGCTTCAAAACAAACACCCTTCACATCCTTTTCCCAGATACAGATTTTCTCCCCTTTTATTTTGCCCTTACAGCCACATCCGAAAACAACCTGAGGAAAAGTCTCTGAAGCAAAACTGTGGCCAGTTCAGGCTGCGAAAGGCAGGAGAAAAGTGGTAATGAGACGCCACCAATTTTGGTTTTATTGGCCCCCTCATTTCACACATTCCTTTCAGTTTCTTTTCCTTTGTTGATACCTTGTTGTCTGCTGTTCTGAGATGGTGCAAAACTGGAACTGGAGCTGGAGCTGGAACTGGCAGGACTGGGCTGCTGAGACTTAAAAGATAAAAAAAAAGAACATAAGTAACATTGGAAGAAACATTTTTGCCTGAAGTGCTTACTGTTAGCTACTGCCCAAGGCATGCTGTCAAGAAAAAAGAACTATGGAACAGAGTAACACTCAAAGACCTTTATTTCAGGTGTCAGTGAGGCAAACACTGTGGAAATTGCTATGCACTCAACACACTTGCTACACTACTCCATCATATCTAGTTCCTTACTAAAGCCAATATCCTAACAAGAAGTTCCCAATGCCTCACTCGAAAGGCTACATAACATGAGAGCCTAAATGAGTTTATGATAGACTTAAGGCTCCCGTGTACTTATAATGCTGTAGCTGCAACATCTTCCAAATTAGTAATGAGTAGAATAGAAGAACAGAGGAAGACCTGAGCAGACCACACTAAATACCAGAAAACCTCAGACAGTTTTCTTTTTTCTTGCTTAGAAAATAAGTCTTACGAGGAGGATTCAAAACAAACTTTCATGCTGTTATTGGATTTCTCCTTATCCCAACACTTTCCAGATGAATTAAGATCGTACAGAAACAGTGATTGAACCGGAAGACTGCCTTGTTACACAGGGAAATTATCTGGAACCCACAGATTACAAAAGAGAACTAGAACTTTAAAAAATAGTTGTTAAGATCAGTTTACATTATTTAAGAAACAGTTCTAGACACTGTTTTTCCACTATTGCTTAAAATGTATAAATTTCTCTCTAAAAGTCTACAAAATTACTGAAAAAGGCCTATTACTTCATCTAAAAATTCCAAATGACTTTTCTCATAATGGTTATGGCTTATGATGGTTGTACTGAGAAGTCTTGCTTCCTGCTGCCACGTTGCATCTCTCCATATACTTTTTTGCTGTTTCATAGGCTGAATGGCTTGAAGGGCGAGGGTGTTGGTAGGTACTTGGACACTCATCTGTGTACATGAGACAAAGAACAAATCTGGTATGTGGCCACAGGGGATGATAACAGAGAACAGAAGGAATGGCGAAAAGCAGGTTCAGAAGTAATGATCGAAAAATCTACTGCTGAAAAGAAAACCTGCTTACACTTCAAATTTTATAAAACTGTGTTGCCATGATGTGTTATCCAGGCTAACAGAAGTTTCCTGACTCTCCTTGCCCGTATAATATCCCTCCTGATTAAGTTAGAACTAAATTGTTCTCAAAAATAACAGCTGTAATACCTAGCCACTGTAAAACTCCGTTTCCACGCACACAAGCTACCTAAGCCTAACAGTTGCTTTTTCTCCATAAATCAATCTATTGTTGCCTTCCATAATGAGCAGGCAGATTTACAGCCTTTTACTGCCTTTTCTCACAATGAGAAATGCCTATTTGGGCAGCACAATGCTTGAGAAACACACCATTAACATCTGCTCTCCTCAAATCAACATCAGCTCTGGTTCTCACAGACACACAGTCAAAATACAAACCCTTGATCTGACTAGACGGGTATATACAGCTTGTATGCAGGTGAATCCACCCTGTGCAATAACACTCAACCCAAACAACAACACAACCCACTTCTGAGTACCAAGAGAGATTCTTACATGGCCCTTAACATCACACCTCTTTGGAAGACACTGCAGCATCACTTGACACTGCTCCAAAAATCAAGTAATCTGGAAAAAAAAAAAACCAACTTTTTTTTTACTGCCTGAACTTCTGCAAAACCCTACAAGATTTTTAGCTGTAAAATAACATAAAACAGACTGCACTGATGAAGAAAAAGAGTCAATGCAAACTTTAAAGACATCATCATTCTGGAAACTGTTTTCAGTCTTCCAGCTTCAGGTTACTCTTAAACATCTGGTTTATCTGTCGCTTTTTGCAGCAAAATTACTATCTGACCAACTGGTTTCTGCAGATTTCCATTAACTGTATATTTCCTTTATTAATTTCAACATGAACTTTAACTTACATAAAATCCATTCCATTAAAAAATAGTAACATATTTAGTAACAAATACTAAAGAACTATCATATTTAGTTTTAAATACTCTTGAAGTGCCAAAACTGTAGGAAAAAAAAATCACACAGGTGCAGAGATATTTGTCACTATTAAAGCTTCACTCCCTTAGAGATATTTGTCACTATTAAAGCTTCACTCCTTTCTGAACCAGTTTACTGGAAATGAAAAAACAGAAAAGGCCTGATGCCACTCACATTATAAGGAATGCAAAAGCAGTCAAATTCCTCCGTGTCGAAATTTTCTCCTAGCATTAACTAACTGAGACAGGATCACAAGAAGGAATGGATATGAATACACATAAAGTGGTTACAATACTTTCCCACTAAAAATTTTGCTCTGCTTTAACAAGATCACTTTGAGAAGCTAAAACCATAAAAAGTCCCAATGAAACATAAATTGTCATCCCCGCTCTTTTTAAAAGGGTTCTTAATGCCTTTTGAAACAATTTACATTATTTTCTTAAACGGATCTGTCTGAAAATTTATTCCAAGGAATACAGATTAGCATAAATGTTAAAATTATTAAGTATCAGAAATCAGACCTCGCTTTTTTGACTCAGAAAAATCTGGAGTGAAACAGCTGCTTTTAACATAAGAATGAATGTTATTAACAGAAAAGACTTGCCTTTTTAGAAGGAACTAAAAATATGCCTTCCATACCTGAATACAGATTAGTGCCAACAGCACTGATACTTTTAGTTACCAGAGGCTATCTTTTGTCACTTAAGCAATGCTTTTTGACAGTTTTACAGGCTGTTATCCCAAGGACTTAGGTATTTATGGCTTTATTCACTTGGGTTTTCTGCTCTTATCCATTGGTTACTAATCACCAAACAGTTTTGTTTTGTTTTTTAAAATGCGTCTGAAATTAGCTAAAGGGTGTCCTTCAACAATAAAAGCTTAAGACAGTACCAGCAAAGACCTTTTCTCATATGTCCTCTTCCTGTTTTACTAGTTTTCCTGCAGACAAGCTAATGAGAGTTTGGGCCCGAACTGTTCATTAGTGCAATGACCCGATATGATTTATTGTATTCTTAGACAGTCTACTTCACTTTAGTGCTCTCACACCGATGCACAGGAGACACTAGCTTCTTTATTAGAACTGGTTGAGAGATTCAGTGCTTTGAAATTGTCTGGCAAGAAAAAGAAGTTTTCTTTGGGTCAAGTTTTCCCTGAAAGGTACCTTTTTCATCAGCTCTAAATCACTTGGCTTCTGTCATTTCCAAACTCGTCTGTTTTTACAAGTAGAACAGCAACTTACTCTTGAGCTGCAAACAATTTTCATGCAAACCCACCTGTTTATGACACAGGATATAACAGAGCTGTTTCTGTAATATTTCATTATTGCCTGGATTCATACAACAACTTCTAAAAATAAACCCCATCATTTCAAGTTCCTTGTTTACATTAAAAACTAGAAAACATCTGCATGTGGGTGACAATGGCTTTTCTTGCCTTCCCCTGGACCATTTTTAAAGGAAGCTTACATATTGTTTCCTGAAATAAAATTTAAGTGGTGTAGTAATATCCCATTTCATATCAGCCGGTCTACATATTTCCTATTTTTATGGACAATAGTCTAAAGATTTATGTTTCCCAGTGTGATACATGCTGAAAAGTCTATCCACTTAAAACTGCTTATAGCTGAGTATTACTTCCACTTCCACATTCTAGGAAGTTAGCTTCTCAGGGAGGAGGAACATGCTCTGCCAGAACAAGCCTTCTTCACTAACAGGACCCTTGTACTTGAAATTTCTACTGCCTCTTAAGCGTCCTGTCACTGACCACCACCTCAGCTTTTAGTGCAGTAATCCAACCCATCTTAGCTCAAAGGACAGAACAACCCCAGCTCATCCACCACATGTCCACATCCGCCACTGCCAAGGGGAGGCACCGTCCGGGTGTTCATGATAAGCCCGAACTGAGCTGTTTGCCCTTTGCCTAAATTCTGTATCACCACATCTCCTGTCAAGCTGCTACAATAGCAACTGACCTCCAAAGCAAGATAAAACTGTCCCTTTTTAACCATTCACAAAAGCTAGCTTGCAAATTGCAAGCTCACAGAGAAAATGGAAGAACAAGGGTATGCAGTGGGAAGTGGAATTTATTATTTTCTTCTAGAAATGGAAATACTTATTAGTAACTGACATTTAAGGAACCAAAAAATTATTTATAAAAGTAATTTAAGATTTAGCAGTTGTAAAATATAAACAGGAAATGCCTGAACATTGATCTTTGAGAGGAGATTCATAGATTCATAGATTTCTAGG